ATGCACCTAAACGCATTTGTTTCTGTTGCGTTCAAATGCGTTTGGGAGACATTAACGCGTCCAAACGCGCTTAACTTGAATGCGTCCGAACGTGTTAGTCATTTGAACGCGGTAAAATGAGTTTATTATCACAGCGGTTGGCGCGTCAGTTTCTGACACAGCCAAACGCGTTTCATTCTAACGTATTTAAACGCATTTATCACCGAGTAACGCGTCCAAACGCGTTTCAGTTGTAAGAAAACGCGTTCAGGCACGTTTTTAGTGCAAAAAAACGCGTTTAGCAGTGCGTTTGGTCTAAAAAAATGTCTGCCTGGGTCTTTTAATCAAAAACTTTTATATTTGTTTAGGTATGATCTTGCTGAAACGGTGAACGGTACCAGAGTCCATTTTACAGCTACAATTAAAACATCCAAGGGCTACATTGACTTCGACGATCAACGCGAATTCTCTACATATGATAAAAAGAGGAAGCGGAGACCGCTGTTTATACTAACAGAGCAACAGTCTTATAGTATAAGTAGCAGAAGGATGTTTTTTTCTGACTTTTTCAAATCCGTGCTTTTCTTTCAACAAAAATTGTCACTTATTTTCCAACAGACTTAATTTTTTTTGTTACGTATAAATTACTTAAACGTTTGCACAACTCAAACAGTTTCAAAACATTCCTGGCCCATATTTACTTATTAGTCAAACAAAAATTAAGTTTTTTATACTTTCCTCACTCTTACTACATTTTCTAAAAGTTAAATGAAAAATACCTTTCAAAAGTAACAGCGGCAACTGTAGTATGTACTTACATCACACTTTATTTCTTAGTACACTATTCCTCTTCACAGTTTAGAGATTATTCACGAAACAACTGGGTATGGGTTCTTTTTGTAATCTCGCGCAAAGAATAATTCTTAATCATGATTAACACAAAAGTTTATTGACATTCTCGTGCTGTTAAGAAAGACAAGTTATCAAGTAATATTGGCCTGCTCGATAGATCACGGGATGAACAGACAGTAAGGAAATACCGCCTATATCCTGATTAGACACAGAAAAAATCTTTGCTGTCAAAAAGATTCCCGAACGGGATACGCCTGCATGGTGGCAGAAAGTCAGTAAATCATAAACAATAAAGCTACGGTATACAGGATAGTTCCTAGTTCACAAAGAACTATAGTTTTCATTCGAAGGAACTAGAACGGGTGAACCATTCCTCATTTCTACGAAGACGAACAATAAACGCGAACTATTGAATCGTTCTGTTGGAAGAACAGAAACTATCACGGGCGTAGTACGACTTCTTTGTTCCATTGTTGAGGTGAAATGCATAAAATAGATTCTCTTGCAAATAAGTTTAGTTCGTAATATTTCAACGTCACCGTAAGCTATTGTTGTATCACGATACAACGTTCCTTTATGGTACAGAAATATTTCAAAGAAAAATATTTTAATACAATCATGAATTAAATAACGTAGAAATATTAATTCTTCTAAGATAGCATTTGACACAACTTTGTACATCATCTTGTAAAATGGTGTTTGCTGCGTCCAAAGATGAGCGATGTGTTTATAATATGTATCCTACGAATGATAGATACCTGGAACGAACTGTCGCAGGAATCGCAGCGTTTCTTTTTAAGAAAAACCCTTTCAAACGAGCATACATATGAACACCAATGTTAGTTTACTACTGCTTTTCAGAAATTTTCAAAATTTATGTCGGTTTTTAAGTGTTTTTATCTCAACGTTTTTTAGAACAATTTCAAAAAGCTGATCCTGATCTCGAGAATTCAAAAGTTCTTGAGGATGAAGCGATCCTCAGTTTGTCTTTAACTTGTGAGTTTTGTTCTGGTGCCGTGCTTGCCGCTAGCTAGCCACTGATTCTTAAGTGCGGCTTCTCGACAGTTCCTAAAAAATCATAACTCAAATTTTCTGTTCTTTAGCAATTATTTTTGCGTTTTTAACCGATTATTATTCTCAAGTTCACAAAATTGATTGAGAGATCGAGAAGGAAAAAGCCAACGTTTATTGTTTTTGATGAATGATAGTTAGTTAATAAAAAGGATATGTTTTTCACCGGATATAAGCTTTATTCTGTTAGAATACAAGCGGAAAAAATATTCTCTATTTTTACTTCCTAATTTCTGTTTGACAGACGCAGGATAAACATTACAATGTAACTTTAAGAAAGAATAAAAATTTGTTACTTTTTATATTCTTTAATTGAACCATTAAAGTTGTTACTTTTTGACACAGGAAAAAAAACATTCGGAAGCAGAACGAGGAATAAAGAGAATCGTTGCATTAAATTGAAGAAAATCCTCACTTTGTTCACTTCTATACACCTCAGTTAGCGAAAAACTACGCATAGTAAGTTCATACCAGAAAAGGCTCTTGAGATTCGAGTCTGCCAAAACGTACGGGATTTGGTGACTTTTAGAAGGAGTTATTCTGTTGTAAGCACGAAACAGAAATGGGTAATGGTTGTTGTGGCTTATGTAACAAGAAAGCTATCGAAGCTCAAGTAGCTGTTCTACAAACACAAAATGTTGAAGAAAAAGAAACTCCGTTTGGTTATGTTTTTATCTATCCTGGTAAGTGTGATATTCTATGTTTGAAGCACGATTTCAACTAGTACTTGTTATAACTTTCTCCTCCATTTTGGCTCATTGTAAATAGCTAATGAAGCGGAACGGAAGAGAAGAAATATATATCAAAACAAGAGATCAAAAATATACATCGTTAAGAAGAGAGCTTCTCGTCTGAAGATCTCGCAGAATATGCGATAATTGAGGTATATGTCAGCATAGATACTACGGTAAAAAGCAGGCTTATTAAAAGTCGAGGAGTAAAGGTCTTTTCCCAAAACTATACTTAAACAGATATCCCGTTGTAAGGACACACTCAGGCGGGTGATGCTTCAGCACAGAACCGGCTTGTTTTGCACCTCAACATGAAAACTTCGCACTCTGGCAAGAACGACATCTTACTTTCGAGCATATTAAGGAGAGCGAGCGCATTCACAACGCATCTATATCTGAATTCCAACATCGTGACGTCCAAGGACGCTCAAAAAAACGGACGCATAGAAGTATGGAACGCCAAGGCTAGGTTTGCATGGCAATAGTATTTGACTGACTTATTATCTTAGTAGCAACTTGGTATTATCTTGGTATTTTTTAAACTTCGTCTTCTAGGCGTTCAAACATCAAATAAAACCTATACATGTCCCGTACTTTCGATTCATACATATAGGGAATCACTTCGAAAAACTGAAATCGGGTATGAACAAACAACATATTTCACTGATAAAAAGAAACGTGAACAATTGGGTCCGGTTAGCACATCAAAAGAAGAAAGTTTGTCGGCCGATGAAGCGGTCATCATTATTCCCGTTGAAGATATATTCAGTATCAGTTATACTTCGGAAATAAAAAAGCATGTTAAAGCACAAGATCATTCTCGATTAGTTCCCGTTGCTGCTAAGAAAAGTTGTTGTGACGCGTTCCGATGTTGTTGTTGTAAAAAGAAAAAAATTCAACCGATTCGCGAAAATACAATTATTGAAGCAAAAGATGCTCGACGGGAGATTACCATCCACATTGAATATTCGAAATATAGTAACCTAGATTCAGCCTCAAATGCTCGTCTTCTATCGTCAGTAGATCAGGTTGCTTTCTACCAGTGTCGATTTACATCGGATACAACATTAAAATTTTATTTAATTAATAATACGGAATTTGAACAAGCAAATTTTAATCGAAAGAAAGACCAGGCCGAAAGTCTCTGTCGTACGATAATGCAACTAAAAGCAATGAGAGTCAATAATTATCCAGATCCGGAGGAATTACAAAAAATAATTCACCAGCCAATTTCGGAAGTATTTGGTGATCCACTAGCAGAACGTGTTCATTCGATTAGAACACAAAAAGAATTTGGAACACATGGCGAGCCTTCAGTTACAACAGAGACTTTCACGGCCTTTACAGTAAGACCAGATAATGAATAAAAAAATTAAAAATACAGATAATAATCATTTCGTGACTGACTGCCTTCTCTGTAACAGATAATTTAAAGTTCACTTGGTACAAATAAAGCTTGATATTTCGAGTTTGACTCAGCAAAAAGGATCTCGGCTGTAAAATCACATAAAAACACATGCCTTATAATATCGGTTCACAGTGTGCATCCAGGCGAGCTTTTGGTGAAAAAACGAAAGTCACCTTTTCCAAGTTTTGAGTAGCGGGTCACACACTTCAGCATACGGTCTATCTTTTGCCATTGACATTCTTTTCAAGCTGCCACACTTAGCGGGAAAATTGCTAAGAGAAAATTTGGCCGAAAACAATGGTGTTGTTGGAAACTGGATTTATACGCAAAACCAAGTTAAGAGTGAAGACAAACAAACATATATTCAGAATCTATATCGAGTTCTCTACCGATTGCTAAAAAAATTTCTGATTTTGTATTTTCAAAGCTGTGGAATATAACAATACATTTTTCTAGTTAGTTTTCCGAAGAGGCGTATTCAGTAAAGCGCGTGTGCGAGGAAGAGCGAAACTCCAATTTGAATAAAACTTTAACTAAATGTTTTTCTGTATACTAGCTGCTAACACAGTCAGCACAATTCAGCACAAATACTCCTGTGCCCAGTTATGGGTTTTTCCCAAACCCTTGATTTTTCAAGTATTTCCTATTTTTCTCGGGCTAAAATGTTTCAAAATTTGATAAAAAGAGCGTTTTCGGCATCAGCGAAAAACCCACATCGACTGATGTACAATAAGAGAGGTTTGGATCCAAAAATGACAGATTTTACAAAATCCTGCGGTGGAAGACATTGTTCACGAAGTTTCTACTGCAGATTCGGACATCAGTTGTAACATCAGGCTGAAGCCTATAAAATATTTCAAACAGGTTTTCGAGTGTGGTTATTCCAGTGGCACTGCTTTCAAAGTCCAAAAACGGTTTTTAAGAGGATTTACAGAGGTCGAATCTCTTGAAAATCTTTTAAACTGTATGCTTTTCAGCACTTTCACCATCATTCGGCGTGTCTGGGAATTCAGATTGGGCGCTGCTATCGTCATCGGACGTCTCAGACAGCCTCATCTAAAGAAGCATATGAAAGCAGTTGGAGAGTCCAATTGATACAAGTATGTGGGTATCATGCATTTGAATGCATTGAAAAGGACCCACAAAAATCTTTAGAACAATGAAGTCTCATGAGGGAATTAATTTTCAACAAGATAGCAAAGTTTTAAAACATGGTCATTTTAGAAGTGTTACCACGTACTTTTATAGTAATTTTCTTAGGATGCATTATGCTGACAATTTCGTTTTTTTGGAGACAGCTTCGAGTCTCATATGTTAGCAAAAATAATTTAAAATAGAGCCCAAATATTCCCATCAGCCAGGACTATTTGCCACTACGTTGTCCTTGCGTCATTATTATAGCAAGAGAAGGGAACTAAATGAAGAAGATATTTGTCGTTGCTTCTGCATTACTGTTCCATCATTACTAGTGTAACGAACAAAACGATCCTATCAACTTTCCAGCTATCTACCGTTATCAATGTTGTATCTTTTGCGCGCATACTCAATTGAAATATTTCTGTGAAATAGAATGAAAACTACTGACGAGTGAGTGTAAAGTTGACCGAATATAACTTTTAAAGCCATAAATATGTAATACACGGTTACTATCTGTGTGCGTATTTTTTGGAACTAATGTCCACACCATAAAATCTGATAATTTCTCATTGCGGTTCATCGATTTCGTTCTCATGTCAATCGGTCAAGTTTGTGTCAGCTACCCTAACTAGTTTAAATATGTTGTGTTTAAAACAAATTTCATTGAAGAGAGAAGGGCGCAAGTTGCAAATCGCTTTTCGATGAAACTAGGTGGACTACAAGTAATTGATGACGCTGATGCCAGATATGAACGTCGAAGTTGCTCTTAGGCTTTTGTTAACCGGTTTTCTTAAAACTGAATCTTCGGAAAACCAGGGATCAAATCCAGAAAATTTTTCTGAATCGGCCATTTTGTTGCGGACACAAACCTGTCTGTGTTCCATAAGTTTTAGTTTACTGTCCATAAACTTTTGACCAGTACTGTATAAACGAATTTCGTGCTCATAATAATAAATTTCCACTCATTTGCGCCGAATATATCGTTCAAATACCCTCGAGCTATCAGAATTTTGTTTAACAAACGTAAACAGTAGATTTTTGGTTGTTCCTGGATTATTTTAAAGTTATCTATTCATATTATTTTATCATTAAAAGCATCTGGTCATAAATGGATCAACCTAAAAAATCTACAATTTTAGCTTCTTTCATTTTATTACTTTGATCTATCAGAAAGCATCGACCACAACACACATGTTCGTTAAATATATTGATAATCATATATAAATCATGGAGTTTGATAAAAGTGATCTTGTTTCTGAGTAAGAAAGAAATTTATTGTGCTTATTATTGCATTTTTGTTGGGAATTCTTTGATGATCACTCGTCTAGCATATCTATTTAATACTCTGTTTTCCCAGTCATATCAAAATTTGATGATTTTTTTCTAGAGAAGCGGTATTTGAGATTTTTACATATTCGGAATCAGCGCGATGAGTTACGTTGTACGGCGCAAAGATCTCGTCGGGGTACACGCAAAAATGGGG